ATCCGGGTCAATGAGTATACATATGCCCTCTGAAGAAGTGGCAGTTGGGGTGAATGCAGGTATAGCTTGACAAAGATTTTGTGACTTCCGTATTTGTTGGGGGTTCGTCTGTGGTATTGATTAGCCTCATTTTGCCTCTAACATTCCTTGTGTCGATAGGTTGGGGCTAAGTCTTTTCTGATGTACGACAATGTGAGGCTGTATAGCGAATTCGTCAACCTCGTCGTTGGGTAAGGAAGATTTTATGTACTCTCCAGGTGAAAAACAGCGGCCTGGTGGTTATGTCATTTCTCTCGGTGTCAAGATCGTTGATGACGAGAACCTCAAAGTGGCATAATGCCTCCTCTCTCTTCAAAGTTAGCCTGGTCTCTCCGGTTAAGTAGTGAGGAGCCATCTGCCAGCTTTGCTCAACGGAGTCTCCATGATCTTCGTTCCTAGGTGTTTAACTGCGGCATTTATCAGCATATTTCCTGTGGTTCCACTGTCAATAACGATCATTACCGGGTAATGGCAATATTGGCCGTTTTCTTATAATTCGGTTTTCATTGACCCTTACTGGTTAATGGTAATATTGGCCGTTTCTTTATGAGAAAACATTCAGCATTCATTGACCGAGCAGCCAGTAGTGCTGTCACTTGAATTTATAAGTTTTTTCTCTTAAAACAATTTTTATGAAAAACAGGTTTCTCAGTAATTGTTATCGGTCTGTTCAAAAGTGACAGGATTTTCTTTCCACACCTTTTATTTGAATTTGTGTGGAACACCAGCCTCTTGATTATGTCATTATTTTCTCTTCGAGTTACATGTGCTATTCATTTTAGCTATTGCTGCTGTTGAAAGTCCTCAAGTCATGTGGTTTCTGTTATTTGGTACAGTTCTTTGTAATCGAGCGACTGAAGCCTATAAGTTTTGATCAAGACCACACTTCGAACCTTGTGGACTGGCGATACCCAAAGCGTGTTTTAACCATTGACCATAGAAAGCGGTTGTATACAGCAGGTAGTTTAGATATTTCTGAACACGTTTGGCGACATGCAAGACATTCATATGAAAATGTCAATCTGACGAGGCTATTTAAGAATATGACTCGAGTTTTCAGGTTAACGTTTTGATTTTTACGTAATTTGCGGTGTTTGGCGAAACTACTTCTAGCACAGCCTATTCTATGTTCAATTTCCTTATCTCTTATACTAAATATGTTATAACGGATGATAACAGTGAGGTATCTGAAGTGTTTAGTATTTATTAAACCAACATTCTGAATTTTTATTATGGATTAAAAATATATGCTATCACTGCTATCAGTCTTCACTCGCCATGCCAATGCTGGTCTCACCCTCGAAGGCAGATCTGACCAGTCTGGCATGAGCGACGGACTCGCACGACAGGCAGCTCAACCAGGCCATCAGCAGCTACACCAAGGCACTTCCACCAACATCGATGCCTTTGCCAAGCGACAAAACGAGCAGCAGAGATTCATTCTCGACTACTACAGTGCGATAATTCATAGAATAATTCTCCCACGAGTCTATCTCAGTAGAATACATATGATTTTTGTTTTATACTACTAACGAACTCTCAGTCTCTCATATATGACACACCGAAACGAGCAAACGAATGAATCTTCGAAATCACAGGAAATTTCTAGATGTAACCGTAAGTTCTATGTCAACAGTTTCTTCTATCGCACTTCTTGCTTGTGGAACTCTCTTCCGACTTCTTGCTTCCCGGTCAACAAAAATTTAAATACAATATCAATCGTTATCTTCTGCAGTCCTAAATTCTTGTTCTTTTATTGTTCTCGCTCCTTAATAGTAGTTTTTCTCATATTCTCTAACACTCAGTAACCTTTTGCATCCCAGTGACTTTATTACCTTGCTCGGAGTGAAATGATTAAAAAAATAATAATAAACCTTTCCTTATCTCAACCACGTCTTATCTCCATTTACTCTTTTGTCACTTCCACTTTCTTTCTTACAATATTACATTTTAGTGGATATACGTGCTTGAATAAACGTCCTGTTTTTTTTGCGGGGGGGGATTTTCTTTTCTTTAACATGTGGATTACATCTACCGGTATGTGCATTCGAGCGTCTTGGGACTACAAATATTCTACGAAAGGTGTTATCTGTCTGAGGTCGCATAAATTTACGCAGAACACCCATAATGCAAGATCTCCTGTTAATGATGATGAGATGAAAAATGAAAAAATAATGATAATAATAAAAATCATCTCAAGGCTACAATATTAGCTGTTGTCATTGTTGCTCTAGGAATTATTTCAAAAGGACAAAACGAATACGTGGATCAAATTCCTGACAACTCTAAAATATGTGAATTGCAACAACAACAAAAAAACATTCTCATTGGCACTCCTCACATTTTGCGTAGATTTTCCTCTATGCAATGACAACAATCACCCCAAGAAAGGCAATAAAGCCACTAAGATGCAAGTGCTTACTGGGTGTGAAAGAATATGATTATTACATGAATCTCTTATAATTCTAGAAACAGTTAAAATACGGAATGTCAAAATATATATTAAAATATTGCATTTTTTTCCCTAATTGCATTTTCTGACACAAAAGAAAACTTGTCTGTTGAAGGCTCCAGTTGAGAGTTGGGGTTAATTTGTACTACACAAAGCAAAATATGATAATAATAACTAGAAAGTGCCAAAATTTCATGGTTTAGCCCACAGTGAATTCTACGATAATAAAATATCCGTAGAAATTCCCCTATCGCATCATTAAATATTTGAGCTTAACAACTTTAACAAAATATTGCAATAAAAATCATAATTATATAAATGCTGGTCATCATTTTAAGAAGTAAGGGTGTACAAATGAAAGTATTTGAAATTGATAAGTTTTTCCCATTTCACTGAAACAGACGTTAAATCTCCCCTTTCTTTTACTCATTTTCTCACTGAACCCAAGTTGTGTCTCTAATACGTGTTTTTTTTTTTTTAATGAAAACGGAATAGTCCATTACTTATGAGATATTGGCAGGGATCGTTAAACTAACCAACTCACTCACTCTTCTCTGAAATCAAGTGGTGTCTTTTCACCTCTTTCCATGCAATCAAAACGGAATAGTCCATTATTTATGACGCATTGGCAGGACATAACGGTCGTGCGAACTAAGGACGGGAGGTTCAATCACAATAATAATAAATTACCATATGTTATTGGTCACGTCTTTAATGTCAATATTAGAAAGGAACCATCTTGGACTTGATCCTTCATTATCATGCCAAATTTTCAGAGTCAGCAATGTACCGAGACTTTTGCGTGTTCGCAGAAGGAAGGCCGAAACAGTACCAGAGCCCAAATTCTGAAAAAAGTGAAATAGAAAGGGAAAAAAAAGAGCAAATTTTTATTCTAATTTTATTAAAGCTTCAAGAGTTTTAAGTTCATCAGAAATTAGCGTAATACGATTTTTTAAAAACATTTATTGATCGTTTCACTCGGATTGCATGATACTAGGTTAAGTCAATCACCAAGTATCGATCATTTCAAAACTAAGAACATCTACTGGAGATAGTTGTGAAGAGGGCGGCTGGAAATTTAGAAAGATTTTTGATATATTCTTTATCTCTGGCATTTCATCTAAATAATTGCTTCTAGAATTTGAAGAGAAATTCAGAAAGTATGATTGAGACTTTGATATTGAAACACGCATGGTATGACATACGAAAGAAGACGCTAATACAATCAACTGCAATTCTATATAATCGAAGATGGTTTTAGATCATCAAACGCATTCTCTTTTGATCAAAATATCAATCTAAAGGAAAGGATAATTTGTTTACCTATGTAAGTATATCAATCACTTCACAGCCTCATTATGAAAAAAGGATGTATTTTACACAAGTGTTTATTTTTAAAATTATCGGCAGTAGCAACTTATCATCCGCTTACTCGTTAACACATTTTTAACGAAAGAATTGAATTAAAATTCTTATCGGATGTGAATGCATCATTTTTATTTTATTCGAGCATGAATTACTTAAATTCGAATAAATCCTTCATTTCGTAAAGTTCTGTTGATCAGCGCGTGTTATGAACAGAACGATGTACTTGAACAAAACAATATCACAACATAAACTTCGGAATGTTTATTTCGTCAGACATTGTCAAAAACCAATATGGTGTCAGGTGATAGCTAGAATTCCTTTTTTTTTTTAACACTATCTACATTATTTGAACTATTGTCCTCATCTTTATTAAGTTTTCGTTGAAGATACGAAAACTTAAGGAATCAGCATATACTAGCCCAAAAACATCTCCTAAGACGACCAAGCATAGACATTAATACAATATGGAAACCAGTAATACAGAATGCTAAAGAAAATAATAATAACAGCAAACTGTAATATAAGCTCTGGTAAAAAAAATTACTGATTTATAAAGTTTATACTTTCTAAAAATCATACATTGATGCCCCCAAGGACATATGACCCAGCAGATAAAAGCGTTGGCTGAAGTAATCCAGTGACTTGACCTAAAGAGTTTTGAGTTCAGTACCAAAACTTGGAGAGTTGAGTTACTAAAGGGAGATATCTATAAAAGGCATGGCACGTGGAACTAGAACAATCTGGTGGACCAAATAAATGGTTAGATTCGAAATTCCAACGTATATCACCTGAAGAAGGCTAGTCAAAAGGTCGTGAATATAACAATAAAGATAAGGACAATAGTGCGAACAATATAAATAATGTAAATAGTTAAAATCAGAAATATAGACAGATATAGAATCCCTTTGTCTATATCCTGGCATTCTTTTAGAAAGCTGGAATTTTGAAATAGCTTTCCTTACCGGTTATTTTTAATCATAATGGATGGATACTCGCTGTATAACCACATATGTATATAGTTGTAACCATATTATGTTTCATTTCTGGTTGAAAGAGACTTACCTTCCTGATACCGTCAGAGAGTATCCTTATATCCGTCTCACCTTCCATTCCCCTCAAGATGAAATAGGGTGTAGCTGACATGACCCGCGATGACCGCACGCCCGTTTGAACCCAAATCAAATATTGGTAAGGATCAGAGCTTCTGTCGTCGGAGAGCGGTAGATACGACCACTAAAGGAAAAAAGAGGACCAGCTTCAATAAACTACTTACAAATTATAAAATTGTTTCGCTAATTTTCTTTTTCTCTCTGGAGGTATATCTTTTTTCAAACTGATACGTAAAACTTCGTTTGTTTATATACTTACTTTGGCTCGCAGTTTTGTTTTTTTGAGAGGCGCATACAAAATGAAAACTTAAAAAAAAATGTAAACATTAGATGTTTCAGAGTTTTCATAAAATAAAATGTTTTTAGGAATGCGTATCTGAATTTTCTCTTTAAAAAGTTTTGAAAATTTAAATTGATTTTTGATACCGCCTTTTGCAACAGTTTTGTTCCCTAGGAGTAGATAGATTTGCTTGTCTTCCGGTTCACACTCCTCTCTAGTATTTTGAGCAGGAGTAGAGGTTTATTTCTTGTTTCCAGTTTAGGATTGAGTTTCCGGTTTCTTCTAAAGTCATTTCATTTTCTTTCATCACCAGTAGCCTCTTCCATCTTAGTGGCATTATTACCTTGTTCTGTGATTAAAAAAGTATAATTGGACATTGAGGTCAATACCGAGCGTCGACAGTCCGTTATCAAGCATGAAACGGACTGTCAACGCTCGATATTGACCTCAGTGCCCACTTGCCAGTGCAAGGATCTCGTACCCCCTGTCCCCAGAATCTATGATACATCCTTCCCCACTCCAGAATCTATACTAGAGTACTCCTAACTCTACGACATTTCAATTTTCATAAGCTGCTATTCATATAAAATTCAAATTTTATTGTAACCTAATTATAAAGGATCATATACAATATAAGTGAACAATTCATCTAGAAAAACTGAAAATAAATACAATATATGTAAATACAAATTAGAGACATGTCATAATAGATCATTCCATTTTAAATAAATCCATATAAATAAATGCTTGTGTCAGTGTGTCACACTTTTTCAACTTTACACCTAGAGGTCGTAGCACAACATATACCATTTTGGAATCAGGTCGATTCTGTGAGTAAATTAAAGACATTCCGGGCCGAATCCGGACCCGCAATCCTGAAATTTGGGATTCCCAAGTTTTCATCACTATCGCAGTGACATGTCTCTAATTTGTATTTACATATATTGTATTTATTTTCAGTTTTCGACGATTTTGTTACGTGATTTTTTGCGACGAATTTTTCTACGATAATATTTTTTATAATTTGGAAATAAATTTGGGAATAATTGAAATTAAGCGAAAGTCAACCATGAAATAAAAATACTCGTTTGTACGGAAAGTAAGCACTTTCGTACATCAAATTGTCTCTAAATTAAATAGCGACAGAAGAATTTTCGCTGAACTTTAAAAAGGTAAGCTTAAATATTAATGCAATATTTAAATGCAACGATCAGTTTTGAGTTCTTCTGTAGTTTATTGTTGCCTATCGCATACGGCAGAAATACGCCTCGCAAAAAGAAACCTCCGTCGACAGAGAACCAGATTGCAATCAAAAGAGCCAAGGCTGCAGCGAGGAAAAGAAAGTCCTGTGCAAATGAAAACCTAGATCAAACGGCAGCCAGGAGAACTTCCAATGCTGAAAATATGCAAAGACTTAGGGACTCTCAAATTCCTGAATAAGCCGAATGCTCAATCTAGAGTCCTCCGCACGAGCTAGCATAAATTCTGCTCGATATGGCTGCTTTTAAGTTAATCAACAATATTTTGCGGCAAATTTTTAACATCAACTTGAGATTTTTCTTTTTAAAATGTTGAATAATTTTAACATATTCAACATTATGGATAAGAGATAGTGAATGTTATATAGTGTCTTACGAAACTTAGCACGAGTCAAACAAATTCATGGACGGAAAAAAATATACCACTGTATGACTTCAAAATCCTCAAATATCTTTCATCTCTTCATAGTCAGTTATGATTAGTTTAATTTGCAATGTATATAAATGTAAGTAGAAAAACAAATATTAATAAAATAGCGATCGCCACAAATCACTGAACGGGGTCTCCAATCAGGTTCTTCCCAGATCGGGGAGTTCAGGAGTGGTACGCACCAATCCTACTCACTTGTATATTAATATACGCTGTGTCTCAGGACACTTTTACCCATAATTTTAACATACTTTATAATTATATTTTTATCATATATATATATATATATATATATATATATATATATATGTGTGTGTGTGTGTGTGTATAGATTGTCTCGATTGATCAACTACGACTGAATAGCGAGTTCAAATCTTAGTGAGTATTCCATTTCTAAGTTACGCTTAGTGAATCAGCATATATTAGATATTGAATAGAACAGACAGTGAATGCCTGTTAAGCATTTAGGTGAGAATTCTTATTGTAGAATGTTATTTAATATTCAAGGAGAAACTTGTAAAGGAACTTCTCGAAATGTGCTTTCAACCATCGTTATTTACAAGTTTTAACTGACATTAAACTTATTCGACAAATGATATGTTATATATAATATATATAAGAAGACAAAAGGAAATCTTATCTTCGCCGACGTGTTTCGTCCTCTTATGGACTTTATCAAGGCAAATGTCAGAGTACGAAACGCGTCGGCTAAGATAAGTTTTCGTTTTGTTTATGACAAAGTGGAAAAATATTTTCATGTGACACATTTTGTCATTTAAATGTATGTGACTACACATGCACACGAAAGAAAGAAGAAGCTGAAATTCTAAATTTAATTTTTTTTCTTAGCAGATTTTCTATTATTACAATATGGGATATTCAATAACAAAAGTGATAAAAACTGTTATATAGGAGTAAAGTGTCTTGAGTTTGAACATAGATCGCTAATGAGCAGACACAGGCGATCTCATTATTGAATTAAGTAGCCCACGTGACCATAGAGGAAACGCAAATACAGGAAGTCGCGTGACGTCTAAATTGATTGCTATTCCTATTCTATCCTCTATTACTATTCGGATTGCTATTTCCCCTCTAACGTCTATTACTATACGCACCGCTATTCTCTATTCTCTTCTCTACACTATTCTCTATTCGGATCAATACGGTGATTACTTTTCGAGTTAGTATTATCGAGTAAGTACTATTAGTGCGAGTGTTAATCGAAGGTGTCTGTCACCAACATTGTTCAACGGTGTACTATAGTTGTATCTGCGATTACAAAGTCTCTACTACAACGAACATTACGAAAGTGACAATGAGTGTTCGTTGACATCACAAAAGTGGCAACGTGTGTTCGTTGACATCATAAAAAAACAAACTAAAAGAAAAAGAAACTAAACGAAATCAGCTATACACCCAAACATATATACATATTAAAAGAATTAATACTGATTTTCAGCGTCCCTTCTCTTTCATTTGCATGTGTAATCACCTCAACCATCACCGATGAAGTGCTAAAGGACGAAATGCGTTACACGAATAATTTATTCCACATTGTCATGATTTTTTTCTAAAATTGTTCTGTTATACTAGCTCTGATCAAAAAGTATCGGGACTAGTGCTATAAAAAGAAAACTACAACACATATCAATTCAGCATTTAATCTCCTTTGAAGTAGTCATCTTCTGAAGCTACATGCTTTATTCAGCGTCGTTTCCATTGATGAATGCATTCCTGAAGCTCCTTGTGTGGAATAGCGAGCAGCTACCTCGTCACATCCTCTTGGATTTCCTCGATGTCATGAAATTTTGTTTCTTTCGAGTTGGATTTGATTTTTGAAGAGGAAAAATGTACCAGAGGCATGGTCTGGAGAATATGGTGGTTGTCGGATCTGGGGGAATGTGGTGTTTGGCTGAAAACTAGTTCACCAGCCATGGTCACTGATGGAACCTCTGTGGTGTGGTGAGACGACCACACTCTACACACTTTCCTTACAAGCATTGCTGTAAACAACGGGAGTGAGCGAGAACATTATGACTTTGTATACAGAGTTCACTGTCAATCTGTGCCAAGCAGTTTCACTGTGTACTTTAGCTCCATTACCAAAGCAATAGTCCCGATACTTTTTTCATCAGACTTCATATACGATCGCTAAAGATGAAATAAAATGGTTGGTTCCTTATACTGTTACAGAAAGTATCTGATTCCACCTTCTATGCTCTATATTTACAAGAGTCCGATCAGTAGGTGATGAGTTATTTTCCACTTTGCAACCTCTTTCCCTACAGGTGAATCGTCGCTAGCCTTTCGCTTCTCTCTTGTTATTTCCATGGAAATCTTCTGACCGGCTCCATTCCTTACAGTTCAGACCTTTACAGCTAAAATTCACCATGTCACACACACTGGGACGAACCATCTTCATTCCCTTCATATTCCATTAGTACGAAGGAAGTTCTATTTGAACAGCTTCTTCCTAAGAGACGCTGATTTGTGAAAGACTCACAAGAGGATACTTCCCCCTCCCCAATCGCTACAATCTTAATCTCTTCATATCTCGGGTCAATCGTTATCTATCCCACATAAGAGGAGGGGGTAAGAAGTGTGGATTATGAGGACATGTAGGAAAAATAAATAAACAAATATATAAAAAAAAAAACTCATTCAGTAATTCTTTAGTGACTCTTGGGCCTTGTATTGCGTGAACAATAGTGTAAAAAGATCGTTACTCACATAGATCTGGTCTTTCTTGTCCAGTCGTCTGACCATAAGCGCCAAGATGCAATACACGAAAAATATCAGCAGAAGAACAATGAGAACGTAAGAATTATTCAAAACTTTTTTCTCAAAGTCGACGAAGATCTTTTCAAAATCTAATATTTGTGGAGTAGCGAACGAAATGACCGATGAAAAAGTTCCAAATAAATTCGTTTTGAGAATCACGTTGTTTTTTTCATCTATTGATGTATCCTGCAAAATAGAAAAATAAACTAAATCAGAATTTATGTCAAATGATTACGTTTGATTTTTATCAAAAACTAAAGAAGTCTACTCTGCAAATAATGACTCGCCATATAACTGTTTAATTTCTTCGATGAGGCATTGTCATTTATTATTAAATTTTCGACTAGTATTATTTTCATCTTAATTTCGGTTGCTTTTTATCGCATTTCATAAGAAATAATACGATTTTAAAAGCAAATCAAAAATATATTGAATTATACCTGCAAATAGGGAATTACGATGTAAGTATAATTTAAACACTTTGTATTAGTTTATTGCCCATTGTTCTATTTGGGGAACATATTTTAAGACATTTTTAATATCAGACGAGTCATATTTTTATTATCCATAGCATACACGGAAAAGACGAAAATACAATATGTGCTCATATGTGTTAAAAGACAATTTATGACTTATTGATTTATAATGAAATTTGTTTGACACTAAGTCATAATGTCCAGACACTAGAAGGTTAATATACTTTCGTTTATTTACAAAGTGCTTTATGGTGGAAGTATTTATCAATAACCTACACTTTGGTTGAAACAGACGGTACGGTTGAAATAAAACGGGTGGCTGGATTTTCAGTAATAAAACGATTGATCCTAAAAAAGCTTAAAAAGCAGTCTAAATTAAGTGGTTGGAGAAAATTTTCTAAAAATCCTATTATAATTGTGCTTGGCCCTCACTTGGTTAGTTAGCACGACTTTTACTTCTTGGTAATACTTCATAAATAATGGACCAATCCGCATTTTGATCATGTGCAAAGAGGGGGGAAATGCATTAATCGATTTCAGTGAGAAAATGAAACAAAGAAGAAAGAAAGAAGTAGAGAGAATTAGATTAAGCTGATAAGAACAGATGCTACACTTTGATCTCGAACACCGAGAAAAAGTGCCATTTTTCAAACCCATAGTATCGAACGACGGAAACCGAGTAAGCAATCGCCAAAAATCCAATTGCCATAAATTAAATAAAGTAACATCGTCATCTAAATTATTTTTACATTACTAAGAGAATTGTTAGCAAGACGGGGATTTGGCGAGAAAGAAAGAAAAAAAGGAGAGAAATAAGAGAAGATAAAAGTGTTTAATGTCTCCTGTCAATACCTCATAAATAATGGATTATTCCGTTTTGATCGCGTGGAAAGAACAGAAAAGACACTATTTGATTTCAGTGAGAAAAATGAAAAAAAAAAAAAGAAAGAAAAGAGAAATAAGGGAAGAAAAAGAACGTCTCCTGCCAATACCTCATTAATGGATTATTCCGATTTCAGTGAAATGGAAAAAGTTACCAATTTCAAATCTTTTCATTTGTATCCACTTCTTAAAATAATAACCAGCATTCATATTTATGGTTGTTAATTCAACATTTTGTCAACGTTAGCAATCTTAAATCTTTAACGATGCGATAGGGGAAATTCTACAGATATTTTATTGTCTTAGAAATCGCCATGAGTTACGAGTCCTTTTTTAATGCTGATTATTTTGTGTTCAATCATTAACGTAAGAGTTAAGAATTAAGATTCATCAGAAAATTTAAATAGGAAAACCGAGACATTTCCATAGCACTTTCTATTTTAATAATAATTTTATCCAGTGAACTGTCAGTTTATTTTAATGATATACTTGTAAATTCTGCAATACTTGCGTTGGGAATCTGATATTAAGCATAGATTGTGTTACATTTGCATCACTGACGCCCTTTGTTAGCTAAGGATTAATAGAAATTCAAATTATAAAGACCTAAATTTGTTCTGGCAGATGTGTACCGTCGTACATAAAATTTTAGTTAAATTCTACTTGATTGTAGAGAATCACGATGTAATTATAACTTGTAATTTAAACGCTTTGTATTTATTAACCTTTAGTGTTCATTGTTCCACATATTTTATGACATTTTTTAAATATCAGACTAGCGCTAACTTTTGATTATTTTATCGATAATATATATAGAAAAGACGAAAATACAATATGTTCTTATATATAGTGTTAAAATAAAATTTATGACTTATTAATTTGTAGTGAAATTCGGTTGGAACTAACATCTACAACCATATACAAGCTCTAAAATGTTAATAAACATTTATTTTATTTTTTTGTTACAAAGGGTTTGATCTTTGCCAATAATTTTCACTTGGGTTTCAAATAGACAGGGTCGTTAGAATAAAAGGAGTGACTAAATTTTTAGAATTTTTAAAAGAATTTTCAATAATAAAACGATTTCTGCCTAAGTTGTAGGAGGAAATTTTCTGAATATCTATCTCTAAAAGGCAGGATGTGTGTGTGTGTGTGTGTGTGTAGCGAATGCACGGCCGCAATTTTCGACGGATTTGCACCAAAATTTACATGCACATGCTCCAAGTTAACGGAGGGCCTTGCATTTCCCAACTCCCATCGATAGTGGAAATAATCGATTTTTTTCATGCTTCTACGGCAGTTTTCGTGTAGTTTGCGGCCATTTTCTACTGGTCAGAGTGAGAGCCTATAGCTGGCTGCCACGAATAGGCAGGAAGATTCTATTGGCCAGCATGAGAGCCAACAGCTGGCTGACACGAATGTTAAATAGCATGCAAAAAAAATCGATAGCTGCATTCGTCACAAGTGGGAAAAATTTAAATCTGCATAGCACTTTACTCCAATTGGCTCATTCGCTTGCTTAAACTCAACGTTGATTCTGATTTCGCAGAACTGGGTTGGGTGTGAAAAAGTATTTAACATTCCTTTTTCATTCGGTTTTTCCAGTTACGAGTCCATTTTTAAAGCTGATTGTTTTGTGTTCATTTTGTTTAGTTCTTTTTTCGTACCAGATTTAATGTTTAGTATAGAGCTTAGAAAAAATTCGCAGTGTGAGAAGTAAAGCGTGTAGCAACATCACACGGCAAAGGGCACTCCTTTAAAGACAAGGAAGGGCAAAAATATTTTAAGTCAAGTGATAGCGATTGCTGTATGTGTCGTACGATTTTTGAATCAAGCACGGGCAACGCCGGGCCATGCTGCTAGTTTATTAATAGTTTTAATGCAGTGGATTATTCTTGTCATGCTTGTATGAACTTAATTTATGAAGACCTAAATGTTTCTACAGTATGTGTATATACAACAATGTATCTAACTTTTTTCGCAAATTTATAGAGTTAAATTATACCTACAAAGATTTAATATGATTTCGTTGTTTAACGGCATATCAACTCCTTATGTTTCACTTAATGCCGAAACTTTATTTTCTTGGGAGATTTGAAGTAATAAAAATATGATATATATTAATCTGCTTTCACAATTGAATACATGGTAGATGATACTCAGCTTTTGTGCATATACATGTTTGTGTGGACATGATCGCTAGAGGGGTGATATGTGTTATTTTATGTTGTAGTTTTGTTGAAGTTATATTTTGGAATACAGTTTGATTTAAGAAATTGTAGGATATTGTATGAATTAATGTCATGAAAGAGTTTTTCATGTTGACTGATGTATTGTTGGTAATTTTATTATAAATATATATTGATGGTAATTTTTTTTTATATAAAAAGTGTTGATGGAATATTTACTATAAAAATGTATTTTTTTATACTTTCATAGTGTTTTGTTTCGGGACTCACGATTTGCTCAGGTACTACCACCCCCGGTGAACCTGGGAACAACAACAATTAGGGGGTGGTTCCATACTTCTCAAAACCTCCAATCTCAGAGGTTTGGTTTGTTTTACGGCATATCAACCTCAATGGGTTATTTAATGCCGACAACATTTTTATTTCTGGTAATATTTTTCCTTGAAAAATGTATAGCTGGTTATATTTTTTTTTTCAAAAATGTATTGCTTGTAATAATATTTTTTTACAAAGTATTTCTGGTATTAAAATCTATTTTTACACTTACATAGTGTTTTGACTCCAATTTAGGGGTTAAATATTTGCCCATAGTTGGGACCCTAACAAGCGCTACCACCCCGGGTCGGGTGGACCGCGGAACACCAGCAATTAAGAGGTGGTTCCATGCTACTCAAAACCTCCAGATCAGAGGCCTTGCTGCTGGACGTAGTTTATCGTCTTACCCAGGACGGCCAATCTCAGAGGCCCTGCAAACAAAGTATTATGACATAAGAATAATTCACCTGGAGATTAAATGCTTCATATTTATCACTGAAAGCGCCCTTCTTTACAATGGGTTTTACGGTGTAAATTTTTGTTATTAGCTGATCATGAACGGATCTCTTCTTTAGTGTCTGGGATCCTGTAAAATAAGAGATTTTTAAAAGCATTAACATTTACATATATAGGACTGGCAAAATAAGTTTTCCAAAAACTAAGCACACTAAGAATAGAAAAATGTTGCTAGAAACCAAAAATGCTGAATTGCTATTGAACATCATCTGCAGTGAATGCTAGACAATCTCCTGTTCAGATGTCGTTCTACCAACAAATGCTGAAAATACCGTGGACAGAACATGTGAGCAATGAGGAGGTTTTCAGGAAAAGAAGAACTACAAAGAAACAGATGATTACAGCTGAAATTTCTGGGACATAAAATAAAGAGAACTTGGGGAATTTAACACTCAAAGGTTATACTGAAGGCAAGAGAAGCAAAGGAAATGTTGAGTAACCTACTTAATGAGACAATGGATGGCAGAGCAAAGAGCGCAAGTGAAATATAAATATTCAAAAATAAAACAGTCTTTATTTTATTTTCTTTTTCATAATACCAGAATTTGCTGTTAGAATTATTTCTGAAGATTTTGCATTTCTTTCAAAACACCTACTTGTAATATTACGACTTACATAAAACATCTAGTATGAGTAATGGCTGGCAGTTCGTATCCGAGTATGTTTATTTGCTAGGGCGGCTATCCAAGAACTATTGCAGACACCTGCTCAGGCATATTTGTGATTGTTCTACACCCGCAGAGCCCACCTGTAGTTTATACTGCAATTATGCCGAGCGGACCTTAGGTTCAGTTTCTAGGAGAGAGCGCATTATCTAGCATGCTCAACAGTCTGAACCAGCTCAGTCACGATGGCTTGCGACTTCGAGCTAGCATAACCATCGACGGCTCCCAAGTAGTCCCGTCTACCTGATTTCACTCACAAGGCTTGGGTCAACCCGTGGTATGGTTTTTAGGCACTTTCCAAAGGTGCTGCAAGCGCTGGGATCGCCTTGCTCAGGCCGGTAACATCAAGAAGTCACCTTCCTCATAAATCAACCATAGTGCAATTCGAACTTGAAAGCGAACATTCTAATCAATCGGCCATGTGCCCATATATACACATAGTATAGGCATTAAGATATTCTAAGAGTGGTGGATCAAAAATTGTGCAATACGGATTGCCATTAGCCTAGCAGGAACGGATCTCTTCTGTAGTGTTTGGGATCATGTAAAATAATATATTTTTAAAAGCATTAACATTTACCTAAAATTTTAAAATAACATCTGAATATGATATCGTGGCCTATTCAAATTAACATCTTTATATCTCATCTGTTTATTAATTTTTTAAACAGTGTTTCGTCTGTAATCTCCCCTTCTTCATCTGCTGAAGAATACAATTGGTAATTTTCAGCACTCTGTTCGCCATCTTAACTAGTAAAGTTCTCAAGGACACATGGCACGGTGGATAAAGGCGTTGGTTAGATCCAGTGACAGAACCCAAAGAGTGTGAGTTCAATACCCGGTTAAGGCAGTGGAGAACTTTCAGAGGGAAATTAACAGGAAATAATTGATAACTGACATCCATCAAACATGGCACGTGGAACTAGAACAGTCTACCCCGGTGAGCGAAATAAAGGGTTCAGTTCGACATTCCAACCACCTGAAGAAGGCCGGAGCGTATAACAGCCGAAACGTTGAGATAAATATGGCGACAAAGATGAGGAAAATAGTCCGAATAATGTAAATAATGTACATAATACCTCATCTCAGAAATATAGGCAGACTCAGAAATGCATGCATAGCTAATGTTTATTGATACCCAGTCAACTGAGTTGTGCTGTCGACTTGTGTTCAATTATTACACAAAACTCTTTAATGTCACATTGGAATGATTCAGCGATCTTTACTTTGCCTACATGGAATTTTTTCATAAAGCTTGGCAACCCTGCAATCAAGGCCCTTGTAATAGGAACTGCAAGAAAACTTATACTTGTAATCAGAAAGGGAATACTGAAATTTCTGGAGTACATCACGAGGAAAGAAAACCTGGAAAATTTAACACTCACATGACATACCGAAGGCAAGAAAAGCAGAAGAAGACATCGAGTAACCCACTTAATGAGTTGTGGAGAGCCTTGATCGCCGCAGTTCTGAAGGAACAGAGCTAAAAGAAAATAGCTAAAAACGAGTATGACTAGCCGAATGGTTTGAATGTTAGCTTTCCGACTGGGTTTGAATGTCGTCAGAGTTGATTAGCCAAGGAGGTGACTTTTTGATAATTTCGGTTTGGAGAGACTATCCTAGCATGCAGCACCGCTGGTAAGTGCCTGAAAGCCATTTACGGCTTGACCTCAGATTTGCGTGTGAAACTGAGTAGACGAAACTTCGGTATCCGTCGATAGTGACATTATGGTGGAGCTAGATTTGTATTTGTCTATACAACATGATAATTAATATCATATGTTGTTAATAGTATTAAATCAATGAACACTCTTTATTAACATTACAACATTCAATCACCAGAAAAGAAGAAACAAGTAAATAAGCGACTTCAAACCGTTCAGTATGTGTTCAAGAAAGGCAATGGTTAATAAGCCAGTTTCGTAAACTCAGAGTACTGAATTGTTATGTAATTGTCACTCTTATACAGTAGTGAATGCTGAGAGATCTCCTTTCAGATGAAGAAATGAAGTCTTGAAGCAATAGAAATATGATTGTATAGAAGGATGCTGAGAATACTGTCGACAGAATATGAGCAACAAAGAAGGTTTATAGAAAATGGAAACAAAAAGGACACTTATACTTAAAATCAGAAAGCTATAGTTGAAATTTCTAGGGCACATAATGAGGAAAGAGGGCTTGTAAAATTTGACGCTCACATGATAGATTGATGGCTATATGGACAGAGAAAAACAACATATAACCTACCTAGCGAGCTAAAGTAAATTGATGGCGGAACAAGGTTTAAGAGATAAAAAAGACAAAATTTACTAAGAGCTACAAAGGACAGGAAATTGTGGCAAGCCATGATCGCTGACGTCCTCAAGGGACACGGCACATAGAAAAAGAACTGGTTCATTATTTACTGCCCTTCCATAACGTTAATTCTATGTCTAAAGAAAATAAATATCAATAAAGAATTCCTTAAATGAAATACCATATTTTTGTCTCTGGAAAAAAAAACAAAAAACAAAAAAAACAAAAAAACAAAAACAAATGTAGTATGTGATTCATTCTCAAGAAATGCCAGAGATCTGAATTGAATTTAATATCAGTAAAGAATCTTTGTGCTAGAAGGAGTTGATCTGTGGTAACCCAATTATGTACTGGTCTTCCCTAAGAGACACCAAAATAGGCTTTGCACTCGGTGTCAATCAAAAGAGCTAGATGCATGAGAAGGTGGACCTGTAACGTGTCCTTATAGCTAACAGCTACAGCATCTGGTCTCAAAGATGCCAGTGGCTGTCCCAACATATAATCAAAAGGCCGACCTAACCAAGCTTAAAGCTTACGGTCATATCTCGTTGCAACACCGGTTCCCGTGCGATCACCGAAGTTAAGCAAGGTCGAGCCTGTACCTTGAGTGGTGACTGCTTGGGAATACCAGGTGCTGTAAGCTTGGATGTGCGGGTGGTAATGGCTACGAATTATTAATCAGAGAGCCGAGTTCTGATTCCCGCTGGATTCGTTATATTCACTTACCCGCAAATACCGTTGGGAAAGGTATGAACCCACTTCTTCTCTCACAGCTATGGGTCAGTTAATAAGAGATTACTAAATTTATCTAAAATAAATAAAAAATCTTACAATCATAAAAACATAGCCGTACAAAACGAATCAGTCAATCAATCAAACAACCGAACTTAGGATATGCATACGCAGAACGACTGAATTTTATAAACGCGTGATATATTATTTGATACATTGTGTGCTTGGGTGTGTGTACAGTGACAGAAATTAAAAAATTTAAATATTTGTTTGTATGCACAAATGAGATAGATACATAGATATGAACAGACTGGGATAGATAGATAGATAGATAGATAGAATTTGGTCGAATTTGGACAGGTATACAAACCATACACCCTCGGGCCGACATTAATTGAATTCCGCCATTAAATAAACAATCATTTTATGGAGGAAAGATTTCGTCCCCTATTATTATTTGTCTTTACAACGATAACGTTACACAAACCTTGTGAATCGATGCGAAGATAGAAACTATTTTCTCGACTATGACATTGGATAAGAATTCGTAAAGCCGAACCAAGCGTTTCTACTTTTATATTCATTGATTTGATAATACTTTCAGGTTTTTGGTTATCATTTCGTGCTGAATAATAAAGATGATAATTATATCTCGTCGGAGCTTCGTTCATTTTTCCCCACACTGTAACGTCAGAGGATGGCAACTCCACCACAGATAGTCCATTATCCGTAAAAGGTATTTTAAATGTAAATATTCCATTTGTGCTTTCTTTGATGTTTTGGGAGATTTCTTCCATATTGGTTCCGGATTTTAAAACCATCTTGTATGTTTTGTCTGGGTCGTTATTTAAGATAACGTTGTTTTGGGAGTCTGAAACCGAAATAACAGCAGTGGGCATCCGGATCTTGTTTTTCACGCTTGATTTATCTTTGTAGAAGATAATCTGAAAGCAAAGAAAATTTCTTTTTATTAATACGTCTACTCCTCACTTAACAACCAGATTCAATTCCAACGTCGCTAAGCGAAAAATTGTAAATAACCCCTATTTCAGGCATTCTACGCTTATAATGGATTTGTGTGAAGCAGATAGCTGTAAATATCCCTTTTACGTCTATATGTGAAGTCACAATAGCTTTATTTACATGTTATTTCATGCTAAAGTTTTACGATATTTGTTACGGGAGTCTATTGTTTTCGGTTAATAATAGTCTCCACTATGTTGTGGGATTCAACACTTTTCATACGAAAGTGTTGACGTTCTACAGTAGATGTTTATGCGTTCATGGAACATATGTACCACAAATAATATTGGAGGACTCTTGTGAGTCCGGGTAAAAATAATTGTTAAACCAATGAATTTAAAAGAAACAATTCATACTTGTGTAGCATTGTATGTAAATGAGATACTGCTATAAAATCAGTACACCACAGCGCCTGTCAGTCGAGCTACCATCGGTTGAGCTGACAATGTCTATTACAGAAAGTACTCTATTTTATAACAATATAGCGTCGCCGATAGGATCCATAACAGGGTTAGATGAACCGGAGCAAGTAGAAACGTGGATTAGATGTTTAGCAGCGTTGTCTAGGGAAAAGAAAGTGAAAAACAAGAAAGCCTCTGGAGGGGAGAATGAAATTACTGATTTATTTTTGTCTTCGGTAGGATGTGAAACCATAAAGAAAATATTCATTATGGTGTACCACAAAATACCGGAAGACTTAGCATATGAGGAAATTTAAACCATTATTAAAAGAAACATGCGACCAATAAAAAATAAAAATAAAGAAAAAAAGAAAAGATGGTTATTGCAGAAAGAACAAACTTTCTGGAAAATGGACAGAATCCAAATGAAACCCTAATGTAATATTTACACAGATTAAAAGAAGCATCAAGATATTGCGAATTTAAAAAACTGGGTTCGAGAGAAATGACTATAGAAGACGAATTGATCCTTCTAAGACTAATTGAAGGCATGCATGTATGACGTTATATACAAACATAAGGTCTAAGAACGGCTACAAGCGAATGGTATGTATTTAGAAGCAAGTGTAGACTTTTTGCGGCAATTAGAATTAATTAACGAATTTAATAATTCTAAAAACAACGTAGAAGCATACACATTAACTAAAATTCTAATTAAGTGTAAATATTGCGACAAAGAAGACGAAAGGAACAAAAACAAATGTCCAGCCCTAGGAAAATTATGTTTAAATTATAAAAGAAAAGATTTATGCGCAAATACAAAGAGAGAATAAAAAGGGTAGAAAATACGGAAAATACAGAAGTACATTCGATAAGAACACCTGCAAAAAGTAGAGAGACATTAACCCTAAGCCTGCAAAAAGTAGGTCGACATTAAAATTGAATGACATAACTTTCCTATGCAGGTTGACACGGGAAGCGATGTTACATTGATCCAAAGAAATTTCTTGGTAAAAAATGGGTAAAACCAAATTAAGAAAAAATAATCTTGATTTAAAACAATTTGATGGATCTGTCACCAAAACTCTAGGCTCCTTTGAAGGAACTTTTGAGACAAACAACTATTTTGAAATTATTCCTATCATTGTTGCAGGATGAACAAAAAATCATGGACTCCTGGGAATAGACGTTTTAAAAGTGGATACGGAGAAATTAATAAACTGTATAAAGTCAAAAGAACCTGACATACGGTGGAGTAATGGATAGCGGCTCGGACTCAGGAATCGGAGAGCCGAGTTCGAATTTCAGTCGAATCTATTCACTTACGTTTAATACCCTTGGGAAAGGTATGAATCCTCTTCTTCTCCTCCCAGCTATGGGATAGACAGGGTTCTCTAGCCTTGGATGGCAACTAGTCTACCGCAGAAAGAAATGGCAACCTACTGCGAGGAAACCCACTGCCCCGTCAGTCATGTATCGAAATATACATTATCGCCTAAGCTTGTATCATGCATGGCAAATAAATGACTGACTGATAAAATGAGCATTCGTCTAAAAGAAAATAGTCACCCGGTCTATTTTGAATCTCGAAAAATACCTATTCATATTCTACCTATGGTAGTTTGAAAATAAAAGAAATTGCAGGAAAAAGTTACAGAAGGTGGTAGTAGTTAGTCATTACCAATTATTGCGATATGAAAGCCCAATGATGATTTGAGGCTATGTGTGGATTACAAAGTAATTAGCAGGAATTAAATACTTTGTCAAGATTGGCCTTAAATCGACATATAACCAAATAAAAATTGACAAAAAACTTAAAGTCACTACAATTAATATCCCAATAGGCTTACTAAAATGGATTTGTCTTCTATTTGGATTTAAGACTTCAAACCATATTTTTCAAAAGGCAATTGAAAATGTTCTATCGGAGGGGGTAAAAATATAATCATATCTCAAGACGATATATGCATAGGTGTTTGCAGTAAAGAGGAATTTAAAAAAAAAACTAACAAGTTTTAAACAAATTAAAAAATGCTGGTATGACGATAAATAGCGATAAATGTGAATTAAATTACGACAAAATATCGTATTAGGGATACCAATTATTTAAAGAAGGAATTTCGCCAGACAATAAACTGATAGATAAAATATCAGAAGTATCTACACCAAAAAATAAAAAAAAAATTATAATCTTTTTTTGGGGATTGACCAATTTTATAGAAAATATCTACCTAGATAAAAAGGCCTAATAGAACCATTTGCAGAATTACGAAAAAAAAAAAAAAACAGAATTTAAATGGACTTAAAATATAGCTTTTGAAAGCTTAAAAAGGCATTAAGAAAACCAATTGCAAAATCTTTGATACAACAAACGAAGTGACATTGACTACAGATGCAAGTGAACATTTAGCCGTAATTTTATCTCAAGAAGGTCATTCAATAATGTACCTGTCGAGAAAATTAACGTCAGCTGAAGTTAACTAGTCAAATGGTGAGAAAGAAGCGTTAGTGATAGTATGAAGCACAGAAAGACCCGTAATATTTTTTTGTTAGGATGAAAATTTTTGTTAAAATCATAACAAAAACTTTAGAGTTTATATTTAACCCCGGAAAAGAAGTATCAAATGTCACATCTAGAATTTTAAGATGGGCTATAAAGCTCATGGCCTTTGATTTCGACATCAAAGGGTAACACTATTCCACACGTGGATGCGCTATCCAGACTAAATTTCGACAGTAAAAAATTAGAAGCGTTTGAAAATTCAGAAGATGAAATACTGCATTAGGTTGAAACGGAGATGTTACCCCTAAATCGTCTCTGAATGAAAACCATACAAGATCCAATGTTAAGTAGAATTTTAGACAGAATAAAAAGAAACACATGGAGCAATTATTCAAGGTCAGAAAGACCCTACAAAGAATCAAGGCATAAGAAAGACATAATATGCAATGGAGGTATTATAATACCCCCACGATGTTTAAGAAAAGAAGTACTAAAAGGTGTACACGATGATGTACATTATGGTATAACAGCGGCACAAATACGATTAGAATTACAAGCGTGGTGGCCAGGATATTCTCGAGATGTAGAAGACTATGTAAAAAGATGCCCAAAATATGCTGAAATAAAACTCTTTTGGAAAAAGAAAATTCACCCGTGGCCTAAAAAAAAAAAAAAAAGGATCCATCGGCTCAGGTACACATGGATCATGCACATATTAAAGGCATGGACTGTTTTTAATTTTAGTGAACTCATTTTCAGGATGGCTCGAAGTATTTAAGGTTGCTGACTGAAAAGTCACCACTGTAAAACAAATATTAAGAACAATATTTTCAAGGAATGGGGTGCCTAAAACTTTGAAAGTTTGTGATCGTCGCTAAAGCGTATTGGATGCGTCACGTATAAAACACCACCTTACCACCCATAAACGAATCGAATTACCGAAAGAATGGTGCAGACAGAAAATGAGACTAAAATAATTTTCTCCATCTAATGATAATATAGAGAGTTACTTAGGAAGATTACTGTTAAGCTATACGACAATTCCACACGCCGGCAGATGATAAAGTCCCTCCGCATTTATAGGTAGACAGATTAGAGCTCCCATAACAATGTCATTTTCAACAAGAGTAAATGTATGTTATAAAAAGACAAAGAATCTAATACAGAGAAGACGAACTTTGTAGTACAGAAAGGTACAACAACACTATCGAAAAATGCGGATCAGAAAAATGAGGATATAGAAATGCACGAAGAATCTGAACGTTAAGAACATAAAGGGGAGGAACGAATTAATGAATCTAGTAATAAAATTGAACAATTTATGGATGTTAATGACTAGAAACCTGACGAAGAGTGATAAAATGAACTTCGACCTCAGAACTCGGTATCAAGATACACACCAAAATAAACAGTTTAGATTCCCAAAAATAATTAGAAGTCAAAGAT